GAGAGAAAGAGAAAGTGAGAAACTATGCTGCCATGTTCAGGACTTGAACCATGGTTGAACATGTGGGAGTCCAGCACCCTTAACCACCATGCCCCCTGCCAGCTGTTTTTTTTTTTTTTAATATCTTTTTTAAAAATAATTTTTAAAATTTAAGTTTATTTATTTTTAATTTATTACTATTTTTCTTTAATTTGGTTAGAGAGAGAGGGAAGAAAAGTGAGAAAGCAAACAACCAGGTCTGGGATTCAAACTGTGGTTGGCCATGTGGGAGTCCAGAGTCCTAATCATCACTCTACCTGCTGGCCCCAATTACATTTTTTTAAAGTTTATTTATCGAGAGAGAGAGAAAGAGAAAGAGACCCTTAACATGATCTCATGTTGCTATCTATCCAGTCTTATCCTTCCCAGCCAGCCAAGCTCATGGGCACATATATACATGTGCCTAGCATGTATAGGTCAACCCAAACACCAAACTCTGCTATGCCACTGCAGCTGGCCCAACTTCGTAAATCAGAACAAAACAAAACTTCCTCTTGGTTTATTTAGTTGTTATTCTAATTTCTTAACCAGCCGGCCCAGCAGGGCCCCGGGGGAGACGCGCAGAGCCCGGAAAGGCCCGCAGCGTCCCCAGGCCGGACGCAGCCTTGGCGCCCGGCCGGCTCCCGCCAATTACATTTTTTTAAAGTTTATTTATCGAGAGAGAGAGAAAGAGAAAGAGACCCTTAACATGATCTCATGTTGCTATCTATCCAGTCTTATCCTTCCCAGCCAGCCAAGCTCATGGGCACATATATACATGTGCCTAGCATGTATAGGTCAACCCAAACACCAAACTCTGCTATGCCACTGCAGCTGGCCCAACTTCGTAAATCAGAACAAAACAAAACTTCCTCTTGGTTTATTTAGTTGTTATTCTAATTTCTTAACCACTTTGTTTTTTCATTTTCTCTTCTTTCATAACTTATCTCTGAGTGAAGCTTTTGCTGAATTCCTTAATTATTGTTATGAAGTGTTCTCTCCCAAAGGTTTTAGGTAATTTACTATCTGTTTGATATTCTAAATATTTCGCAACCAGGGTTTAGTATGGAGTAAGTTCTGCTAATAAGAACGGATGTTAGCCATTAACTCCAGTATAGTTCTTCTGTCAAAGCTCATTGATGAATATCCACTCCCATTTATAATTTTCATTTTTATTCTCTTTAAACCAAACATAACCTAAGGGTATGTTAGTGTGATTCTTCATTTTCAAATAATTACATCATTCCACTTTATGGGTAGAGAATTAAATGAATTGTTACATGAATAATACTTAGAGTAGTAGCTGCCATACAGAAGAAACTAAAAGAAAATAAATAACAAATACATTGCAATATATTGCTAAATATTTTAATTTGGGGATCACCTTTATTTTTTAATAAAATGAATTATGTATTTAATTTTATTTGTTGTTATTATTTTAATTTGCTACAGGGCTCAGAGAGAAACATAGAGAGAGGAAAAAGTGAGAAAGCAAGCCTTGAGGTCTGTGATTTGAGCCATAGTTGGCCATGTAGAAGTCCCTCAACTTAACCACCATATCACCTGCTGGCCCCTAGGAGCATCTTTTCTTTATTTATTTCATGGATTAGAAGATAGCTGTCCTTGGGGCTGGCAGGTGGCATGATGATTAAGATGCTGGATTCCCACATGACTGTAGTTTGAATCCAGACCTGGTGGCTTGGTTTCTCTCTTTCTCTCTATCTCTCTGATCAAACTAAAAAAATAATAAAAATAATAAATAAAATTAAATAAATATATTTTTTAAGAGAACTTTGCTTAATACTTAAAGCCAGGAAACAGGTTAGGATTCTGTTCGAATAGTAGGTACATGGATCTGTCCACAACTTGAGAGAAAACAAAACTACTTATTAATACTGGAAAACAGCACAGAAGGTCAGCAATGTTTTAGTCAAAAGTCATAAAATTCTATTTCACCAGTTCAAACTCATGTACTTAGTTGTTTTAGAACTCTTATTGCTGTGTGTCTGACTTTAGTTTTCCTGGGATAGCACTCCCTTCAGAACTTCTTGGAGAGCTGGTCTAGTGTTGGTAAATTCTTTCAGGTTTTGTTTATCTGAGAATGTTCTTGTTTTTCTCTTCTCATATGAAGTATAATCTTTCTGGATATAGTATCCTTGGTTTAAATTGTTTTTCATTCAACACTTTAAACATATTTTCCCATTCTTTCCACATTTGCATTGTTTCTGATGAGAGGTCTGCTGTTAGCCTGATGGGCTATCCTTTGTAGGTAACTTGAATTTCTCTCTTGCCGGTCTGAGTATCTTGTCTTTGTCTGTGGTTTTGGTCATTCTGGCTATAATGTGTCTTGGAGAAGATCTTCTTGGGTTGATCCTATTTGGGGCCCTTTGTATTTCTTGGGTCTGGACCTTTAAATGCCTCTCTAGGTTTGGGAAATTTTCTTCCAGAATTTCATGGAATAGATTGTCAATGCCCTTATTAGTCTCTTCACCTTCTGAGATACCGATTATCTGAATATTTGGACATTTAATGGTATCTAGTATTTCTCATATATTATTCTCATTTTGGGGGGCTATTTCCTCAGTAGAAGTTCAGCGATTCTGTCTTCTACATCTGAGATTCGATTTTCTGTATGATCTAGTCTGTTTTTAATGCTTTCAAAGGCCTTCATCTCCAACAGTTCCATTTGATTCTTTTTTATGATATGTATTTCCTCTCTCAGCTCTCGCAAGAACTTCCTCACCTCCTGGAACTCATTGACTTTTTTCTTCTGGTGTTCATTGTCTTTCTTCTCTTCCATCTGTTAGTTTTGTCATTATGAATACTCTAAATTCTTTGTGAGACATTTCCATGAGTTCCATTGTACTGTCTGTGGATGAAGAGGAATTATTTTTTTCCCTTGGGGAGATGTATTTTCTTGGTTTCGCATATTTTTTGTGCCCTTGCGGTGATCTCTAGTTATCTGATGGGTTATTCATTTCTTCCTAATTTCTAGAAGATCAATCTGAGGGATCAGAGGTGCACAGGAGGATGTGGTCTGCGAACTTTTAGGTGTTGGGTTTTTCTCCCTTTGTGTTGCAGATTCAGTGGGAGTTGATGAATATGAGGACCCAAATAGTATTTGGATTTTGGCAACTTTTCACTTAGACTTGTCTAGACACTCAGTGGGTGGAGGCTGAGCAGCAAAGTGATGAGGTAAAAGAAAAAGGATAAGGCCTGTGCGGCCCCCGGACCCTGCACGGCGACGGCGGTGCCTGCGCC